AACAACAACAACTTTTGTTCATGCGGACTAATCGTAAACTAGTGGTAAAGTAGTCGTAAAGGGTAACGACTATATTACGATTAATTATACGACAATGAAGGTAACGACTACGTTACAACTAATTATATGACAATGAATCATAGTCATCAATATTTTATGACTACGGACTTTAGCGACTAACAATTTACAACTATAAGTATTAGTCGCAAAGTAGTTGTATCTTATGATTTAGCGACTATCCTGCGACTACTTGGGCAGTCGGAAAATCCGTGCTTTCTTGTAGTAAAAGGAAAGACATGAGACCCTAAGGTCGGGGGCGCATCTCAGAAGGCTACCTCATCAAAGAGGGCTCTGAATGAGCCGAAGGCCTTGCTTGCCCCCAAGTATCGCAGGTGGAGCCAATTATAGGCGACGAATTGGCTTATGCCAAGCTAATGTGGCGCCTGAAACTATGTCGTCTTAGAAAAATTGGGGTAGATGAAATCATCTACAAAGAGGATTTCAAAAGGGCAGCTACTGCCAATATTAGGGTAAGTTATTCGGATCCCGCAACCCATTCTTTCTTTATATTATTAGTCATTTTTAACTTTATTTTTGTTTAGGCTGCGAGTCTTTCTATCGCGCTGCTCGAAAAGTACGACTGTTAGTTCGGGAAGAGCCTCGAGGCCAGGAAGGAGAAGGGAAATGCTCTTGCAGTTAAGAAAGAGAAATATGCCAAGATAAGTGCTAATGCTGAAGTCTCATTTGTCCAGTCTTTGATTTGGGCGACGATATTACTGACGTTGGAATTCCAAGATGACATCGTTTCCGCAACCACTTCAGATGGTGAGGTTCCGTTTATGCCAATGAAACTGGTGTGGGTGGCAAGAAACTCCTCTTCGGTCAAATTCATGAACTCGTTGACACCAAGTTTGTAGCTTTGATTCCTTTTATGATTGAAGTTCTCAGTGAACTGTAAGTTTTTCTTGAAAACTGGAAGCCTCATCTGTTTTTTGGATTCATATATCTTTAATAACAAACTGATAAAATGCTAATTGCACTTTGAAAAATTGTGTCTTTTCGAAATTTATGGTTGCGTCTTTTCATTATAAATAGTTACATATTTTCACTACAAATAGTTGGATTTTTTTATCAACTATAAGTTGTGTCTTTTCACTATTCATACTGCTCAAAACTACAGAAAAAAATAATTTGGATCTAACTTTTACTTTCTTACTATAGTAAGTGCTTTTTTGTCGTACACTTATTTATTTATCATAACATATTATCAGGATACAAAGTGTTTAAATGTCCTGGAAGTTCATATATTGAATTTGAGTAAAAGATTTCATTTGGGAGTCTAATTTAGACAAAATATTAGCAGTTTCATTATAAGATTGTTCATACATACATTACATCAGAAAAATAAAATTAATTCAACCAAAATATAATGATATTTTATTATATAGAAATTATTTGTGTTTTGTTTACTAATATATATTATGTTATTTATTTTTTTGTTAACAATACGAATAAATGCCATTTACACTTTAAAAAGTTATTTCGTTTTAAAATTTGTGGTTGCATCTTTTCATTATAAATGGTTGCATTTTTTTATTATAAATGGTTGCGTTTTTCATCACAACTATTATTTGCGTCTTTTCAAAACTATTTATATTGCTCAAAACCACATGCTAAAAATTATTTGGGTCTAACTTTTACTTTTTTTACTATAGTGGGTTTTTTTTGTCGTAAACAATCTGACTAAATGCCACTTATACTTTAAAAAGTTGTGTCTTTTCAAAATTTGTGGTTATGTCTTTTCATTATAAATGATTGCATCTTTTCATTGTAAATGGTTGTGTTTTTCATTACAACTGTTATTTGTGTTTTTATTCAAAATTATTTATATTGCTCAAAACCACAGAAAAAAATTATTTGGATCTAACTTGTACTTTCTTACTATAGTGGGTTTTTTTAACGTAAAATTATTTATTTATCATAACATATTATCATGATACAAAGTATTTAAAAGTTCTAAAAGTTCAGATATTGAATTTGAGTAAAAAATTCTATTTGGAGGTCTTATTTTGGCTAAAATATGATAAGTTTCATTACAAGATTGTTTTACGTGCATTACATCAGAAAAATAATATGTATTCAACCAAAATCTAATGATATTTTATTATAAAGAAATTATATTCTAATATATATTATGTTATTTATTTTTTTGTTACCATTCCGAAAAATGCCATTTATAATTTAAAGAGTTTTGTCATTTTAAAATTTGTGGTTGTGTCTTTTCATTATAAATGTTTGCATCCTGTTATTTTAAATGGTTGCGTTTTTTCATCACAACTGTTATTTGTGTCTTTTCAAAACTATTTGAATTGCTCAAAACCACCAAAAAAAAAATCATATGGGTCTAACTTTTATTTTCTTACTATGGTGGATTTTTTTATCGTAAACATATTTATTTATCATAACATGTTATCATGATACAAAGTGTTTGTAAGTCCTGGAGGTTCATATATTGAATCTGAGTAAAAAATTCCATTTGGAGGTTCAGTTTTGGCTAAAATTTAAGCAGTTTCATTACAAGATTGTTTTATATACATTACATGAGAAAAATAAAATTTATTCAACCAAAATCTAATTATATTTTTATTATAAAGAAATCATATGTATTTTGTTTACTAATATATATTACGTTATTTTTTTTTATGAAAAACATCTATATATATTTATAGTTAATTATGTTATTTTCAAATTTTAATATTCTTTTTTAGTTGTTTATAAATTTAAAGTACCTAATATTTTGATTCTTTTTCTAATTTCAGAGAAATATATTTATGTAATGTAACAAATTCACATATATTTTATATATGTATTTTAAAAATATCAAAGTTTTTTTTATATTTTAACTAATATATTTGTAATATACTTTTTAATATTGCAAATCTTTTTTAGAAACAATAGTAGTCTTAAAAAATATATTATAAAATCTCGTTACATCAATTTTTTATTATATATATTTTCTGTAGTATATTTTTAAAAAGTCAATTTTTTTTATCATAATTCTTTGTTTCTAACATTTCAATAATAAATGTATAGTTTTATAAAAACAAATTTTGAAAGATTGCCTCTATATTTATTTTTTATTTTACACTTTTGCGCGAATACAAATTTTTAATAATTATACAAATATAAGATCGTATATTTATATTGTATATTTTCATATATAACTTTCTAACTCTTAAAAAGTTGTGTATCTTATTACTTTTCATTTTTTATTTTTTCTATTAATAATTAGTAAGAATAATCCTAGAAAAAATTGTAAAATTTTACATATTTTTAACATAATTAGTTTGTACATTTCTATTTAGAACTTATTGTTAATAATTAAAAAAAAAAAACTTGAAAGATACATTTTTATTTTAATAATTATAAGTTGTTTTGAATGTTTAATCTTTAATATACTGCATATTAACCCCGCGAAGACGGAATCCTATTCCTACTTGCTATAAATTCGAGAAAACTGGATCATCCGTCGTTAGTGATAATCATCAATGGATAACTCAATAAAAATGACATGGGATGTGGCTTGAGAGATGATTAGATCCATGGAAAGAATGATTAGAATTACGAAAACATAGTACGAAACTACCAACACCATTTTGGTTTTGATAGATACGATAAATAAAAATATATAAAAAAATTCACGTTTACACCAAAACGTATGAATTTCTTTTTTTCTTTTTCAAAGTTATAAAAATGTGTAGTTAAGAATTTGTTGTGGTGTGGTGAAGAAGTGAATGGGGACAAGGGTATAGAGTGACGAATGAGACTTGTTATGATGGGTGCAAATGCAAGTTGACTCAATTGTGGTGACGTTATAATTTGCATTAGTTTCTTCCAGATTTTTTTTTTTTTTGTCAACAGTTTCTTCCAGATCTTTGGAGGAACATTTTCAATTTCTAAATTAATTCAAACTCTTTTTTTTTTTTTTCAAACAGTCTTAATTCGTAGAACGGTTTGAAAATATAAGCCATTAGAGTTGAGTTTATATATATTAAATGATTTCGACAGTTTCTAACACTCTTACGTCTTTGTGTTTTCTGTGTGGGATGTATAAGATAAGAAAGAAACAAAATCTCTCGAATTATTTGAAACTCAAAACATCATCTCATTTTTTCTTTTTAGTTTATTAATTTTTGAAAGTCAAACTAAATAAATAAATTGAATATTTATAGGATTTTACTGTTATGTAAACTTATTTCTATAGATTTGGATTACTGAACTGTTTCAAGAGTATGATATTGACAAAAGAGATTTTTTTTTACTGGATTCTCAGTAAGAAAACATATTGGATTCTCGTTTAAAAATAACTATTTTGCCAATCCAAAAAATCTACAGAAAATGTAAAATCTATAGAATTGCATTTTTGTTTACAAAGAAAATTTCGTTAAATAGAAAAGTATGTTTAAAATAGAATATTTATGGATGTTTAAAATAGATTATTTATGAAATCAATATTTTATATTATTTAATTATAATTAATCATATTTTATTATTTAAATAATAATTTTATATTATATTTATATATATAATAATAAATTCTATCTGTAGTTTGAAATTTGCAAAATATTTAGATTTTTATGTAGTTTGTATTGAAAACAAATTAAAAATATTTACAATAAAAAATAAATATATTTCATATTATATTAAAGTTATTTTATTTTCTTATAATATTTAGTATTTTAATTTTATGATGTTAAATAATATATAAAATTATAATGAAAATATATTTTTGCCATTCTACTATTCCGTATAACTTTCTGCAATTCCGTATTAAGTCATATATTTTTAATCGTAGACTAATCTAGCTGATGAAATAATTAATTTTTGATCAGTTTTCTTTATTAATTTTTTTGTATTTTTTTGTTGTCAATAAATTTTGAAATATTTTTGTTTGTCATAAACTAATATATGAATAGTTCAATAAAAATCATATAATTCTAAGCAATCGGATAAGAAGCATACTGAGCTAGACCACACATGCCTTGAGGCCATTCTACGTCTCTACGGAGTCTAATGTAACCATTTTCTCCCCAAGTCTCACCCCAAGAATTCTTAGCCAGCCAATATTTGATCCCTTCGGGGCTGGTCCCGTACCCAACCAACGTCACTCCATGATTCACGATGATCCCACAGTCAGGCGCATTGTACACTCCCCCTGCATAATGAATGAAACTGAAACTCGTCGTTGCAATGCACACCGATACGGGCTGACTGTATACGGCCGAGAGCAACGCAAGCTCGTTGTTCTGTGGAACGTTTATGAACCCTCTGATCTGCATGGCGGGTTGGATGTTGGACCGGCAGCTCCCTTCTTCCACTTGGTAAGGGTATGCTTCTTCTGAAGAAATGCCTCCGCTGTTTGCTATGTAGTTGAAAGCATCTACGGTTGTTCCCCCCTTGCAGCCTTTGTTACGTACTCTGTCACAATCTATAAGCTGCTGTTCGGACAGTGATACGAGGTTTCCTCGGGCAATTTTGGTCAAACCTTCCACTGCTGCAATCGTAGTGAACGCCCAACAAGCACCTGCCCATATATACATTGATTAGTTCATTGTCATGGAAACGGATCTTGTGTATTTAACCATTAACCTAGGTAGAATATCACCACTGACTTGGATATTAAGTTTTGTATGTGGAGTTAAATTACGACATTATTAAATTACTAATCCAGCAATTTACTACATTGTTTTCCAATATGTAGAGACTAATAATAACATATAATGCCGGCAAGCTTACCACATCCTCCTTGCGTTTTGACAGGCGTTACAGCTCCTTCTTGTGTCCAGTCTTTGCTCTCGTCGAAGATATTACTGACGTTCCAATTCCAAGATGGCATCGTTTCATCGACCACTTGGGATGGTGAGGTTTCGTTTATGTCATTGAGACCGGTGTGGGTGGCAAGGAACTCCTCTTCGGTCAAATCCGTGAATTCGTTGACACCAAGTTTGTAGCTTTGATTCGCCTTGGTATTGAAATTCTCTATAAACTGCAAGTTTTTCTTGAACACTTCAAGCCTCATTTGTTTCTCGGATTCATTGCTATAAACTCGAGAGAATTGGATCATCCATTGTTGGTGATGATGAGCAATAGATGACTGGTTAAAAGTGACACGGAATGTAGCTTGAGAGATTGTTAGATTCATGGAAAGAAGTGTTAGAATTGCGAATATGTAATACAAATTGACCACGACCATATTAGTTTTGGTGGATACGATAAAGACGAAAGTTAAGGGTTTGTTGTTGAGAAGAAGTGAGAATGGGGGGGGCAGAGTGAATTTATAGAGTTGTGGTGATATTTTAATAGTTTGCATTCTTTGAATGTTCCGTTTCATTCTTTGAATGTCAAAAACAACTTTCCCTTCTTAATATGCATTGATAGATCAAGAAGCCAATTAGCTAGAGGTCTAACGTAAACCGTTTGTATTATTTTAAGGTTATTTCTCTCCCTCTATATATATATATTAACAAAAATATATATTTTATGATATAAAATTAAGTTACATTGATCAGAATTCGAGATGTATTAAAATTTTTTTACCAACTGTATTTTAACACCTATAAAAAAAATTTATTAGCAAAAGGAAACAAATAAATATAGAGAATTAAAAAATAAAAAAAGGAAACATTTTTTTGAGAATGTAATTTTTTTATTTAAAATAGAAAAAAAATAATTGGTAATATAAAAGTTCTATTTCTATTTCTTACAACAACAAAATGAAATAAGGAAACAACAAATCATTGGAAATGTCAAATTTAAATTTGGAAAAAAATCTTGAAAAAGAGATAAAAAAGGAAATTAGGAATGTAAAATTTCTATTTATATTTCTCACAATAACAACAAAAAAGTAAGTGTATTATATCATACTATATTTTTCTGACAGCTATTATATTCAGAGCTGTGCCAATTTTTAATAGCTTGCAGAAATGAATATAAAAAAAATACTCTCATTCATAAAAATAAATCTATACTATATAAAAGTTGATGGCATAGAGTAATAAAAACGTCCACATATGATGAAGAAACTCAAACTCATTGGTCCACATCAGCGTTTCCATTAAAAAAATAAAAAGTTAAATTTGATTAACAATTTCAATAAATAAAAATATAAAAAAATGAAAACTATCATATTATAATGGAAGATCAAGATCAAAAAAAGTTAAACTAACAAAACAGATAAAAAAAATTATATCAAAAATCCAAATCGATAGCATTTGTCAAAATAAAATTAAAACTCAATGTCACAAAAACTAAACTAAAAAAAATGTAAATCAATAACGAAAAGGTTAAGTTAACTTTATAATTAATATAAATATAAAAAGAAAAAAATAGTTTTATTAAATATAAATTATATTACAAAATTTAATATAAAATATTCTTATTAACAAAAAAAATAAAAGAAAATTATGTATGTAAATTGTTAGTATTTTTAAAAAAATATAATAAAGATTAGTATAAAAGAGATAAATTAACACAAAAAACTCATATAAAATAAAACTAACTTGATATTTAAGCTAATGTTTTTAAAAATCAACACAAAAATCTTGACTAAAAAACAAATAATTTTATAAGCTTTTGAGAGAAGTCCACATAAGATTAAAAATGAACAGTTATAGTATGTCAAATCAACATTATACCTAAACTGATAACCAATATGAAAAAAAAAATTAACAAAGAAAAAGCATTCGTGTACAAGAAATTAACTTAATGTATTTGCTACCTACTTTGAAAATCAACAACAAAAAATCTTAATAAAAAAATAGTTTATATAAGTCCTAATTATATCAAACATACAAAAAAATTTATAAATGAAAATTAAATATAAAATTGCTCTTAAAAGATGTAAAGTATATAAAAAATTATAAAAATTAATTTAAGTTTAGTTTCAAAAAACTTATGCTTTCTAAAATAGTGGTATCAACAATGAATAACTATGTAAAGTTGCAATAGGTTTACAGGATTTTCTAAATCAAATATATATATAAAATATACAACAATTAAAATACTGTGTGTTTCTGATTTATATATTAACAAATAAAAACATTACATAATTTATTACTTAAAATTTAACAAGTAGTAAAATCTGATTTCTATACATAGCTAATACTTATATCTGAACTAACATTAATAACACATGGATAACACATTCTAATATTATATTTAAATAATAAAGTATAATGGAGTTATGAATCAAACACAAATTAGTATATGTAGTTAAAATTTTCAAATGAGAAGATACAGAAAGCACACAAAAGATAAAAATAGTGAAAATAATACAAAGATTCTATTTCACCAATCTTACAAGATTCAAAACTAAAATTATCAAATATTAGACTGCAAAGAAAAAAATAGATCTCAATAATAAACTGAATAAAGATATAAGCTTAAACTCGTGGAAAACTTGATGGAAAAGTAAGAAACATCTTTGCATGATAATTTCAGCTTCCTAACAAAACGAAATGCGAATGAGTATGAATTATTAATTATATATGCATAGGTACACAATATTCAGTAAAAAAGTAAAATATTTGAACACATAAACTTTTAAAAAAAAAAAATTGTAGAAATCCTCTGGAAAATAAAACAAACGATCAAGATCTTAGCATAAAAATCCTTCTCTAAATCAAATATATGTGTACGTCAAATTTAGATAATTTGATATATGTCATTATTATTATTTTGTTTAATGAGATTTAAAATTTTATAAATAAAAATAAGAGAAAATTACAAATTATGTTTTAAATTCTATTATATAAAAGAAAATTTCTATAAATCTACTATAGCTTTAATAATTTAAAAGAGAATTGCTAAAAAAATATTAATACAGACTCGCACATAGCACAAGTTATAAATCTAATATTTTATAATAATAAATAAATCAAACATTGTTATAATAAAAATATATATAATTTATAGTATATTTGTGCCATGACTTCTTCTCAAGAAATTGGTTAGTTTGGGTTTCTCATGTATATCGAGAAGCAAATAGACTCCCTCATGGATTAACGAATCATGCATTTTCTTTATCCTTAGAGTTTCATCTGTTAGAACATCCTCCAATGAGATTGTTTCAATTGTTTAAGCTTAAAATTTTAAGATTTAATATATATGATAGGTCAGGTGGCCTCCTTTCTTTCTACATGGATCCGCCCCTGTTTTGGACGATGCACATGGGACTATACTAGCCCATGCTAGACCAAAAAAATAACATAACAGTTACATATAACAGAAAAAACATAAATTAGATTGTACAATGAACTTGTAGGTCAAGCATTTTTTCTGATTGAACTTATAGGTCAAGCATTGCGATACAGATTAAGACCACATCTAAACAATTGATAAACAAGACTTTATAATAATATCACACTATTTTTTGTTGTTTAAATGTTGTATATATATATATATATATTTGGGCAAATATGATAAGTATATAACACTTTAATAATAAGTCATCTGCCACTTAGTTACGCAACCGGATAAAAAGCATACTGAGCTATACCACACATGCCTTGAGGCCACTCAACATCTCTACGAATTCTAATGTAACCATTCTCTCCCCAAGTCTCACCCCAAGAGTTTTTAGCCAGCCAGTACTTAATCCCTTCCGGGCTCGTCCCGTATCCAACGAACGTCACTGCATGGTTCACGCTAGTCCCACAGTACGGCTCATCGTATACTCCCCCTGAGTAATGCATGAAACCGGGTCCATCTGCGTCAATGGACACCGAGACAGGCTGTCTCGATACAGCCTCGAGCAACGCACGCTCGTTGTTGCTTGGAACGGTCTGGAATCCTCTGATCGATGCGGCGGGTCTTGCATTGAACCGGCACATGCTCTCTCTTTCTTGGAAAGGATAAGCTTCCTCTGAAGCAATGCCTCGGTTTCTGATTATGTAGTTGAAAGCATTTGACATTATCCCTCCTCCACAACCATTATCACCATTCCCTCGGTCACAATCTACAAGCTGTTGTTCAGATAATGATACGAGGTTGCCTCGTGCAATCTTTGTCACACCTTCTACCGCTGCGATGGCTGAGAACGCCCAACAACATCCTGCTCATAAATACATTCATATATATTTTGATTATTTTTTTCCGATAATCAACGAGCCTCTTAGTCTTAATTATTACCCTAAACCTAGATAGGGTAACCCTAACTTGGTGTTTGAGTTTTCTATGTCGAGTGATGTGATATTGTGATCATGTAAATAAATAATGAGTTACAATTTGTTGTCCATATTGAATCGAAAAGCTGTAAATGACACGCCTAGGTATTATAATTTGTAATGTATAATTTGAGAAAGCTTACCGCATTGGCCTTGGTATTTAACAGGTGTTACAGCTCCTTCGTATCTCCAATCTTTGGTCTCACGGGCAACCTCACTGACGTTCCAATCCCAAGACGGTATCATTTCATCGATAAATTCAGAGGGTGAAATTCTGTTAATGCCCTTGAGACCGGTGTGTGTGGCAATGAACTCCTCTTCTGTCCAATCCGAAAACTCGTTGACGCCAAGCTTGTAGGTTCTATTCCCCTTATTAAAAATTTCTATGAATTTTGCGTTTTTCTTAAACACGTCGAATCTCATCTCTTTCTCGAGCTCGTCTCTATAAACTCGAGAGAATCGAGTCATCCATTGCTGGTGGTGGTCAGCAAGTAGTGGCTCGTGGAAGGTGACACGAGATGTGGCCTGAGACACTTTTAGACCCATGGAAAGAATAGATAAAATCATGAACAAGAATACCATCGATGCCATATTGTTTTTGATGAATATGGAAAACTAATATAGAAGAAAGAATGAAATTGTATGTTTTTTTTTTGTTGTATGTAAAGGGTTTATGTTGTGTTGTGTTGTAGAAGTGAGGAAGAGGGGAAAGGGTATTTATAAAGAAAAGATTTGGAGTTGGTTATGTCTAACTGAAAAATGAGAGCAAAATGCAAGTTGACTCTATAGTTTGCATTAACTTGCGCCGTGATCTTCGGAGGAACAGCTTTCCCATCTTTATATGCACTTATATTGCAACTAATGTTTATATATTATGACGACTTCATTTTAAAACAAAGAGATAAGATCTAGCTATATTTACTAGCAACCTTAGGTTTTAGGGTAGTATTTCATTTGCGTTTAGATGCAATCATGGTCCAATCAAATGTATTTTAAAGTTTCTCGGTTGTGGTGAGTCTTAAATTATTAAATTAATTCGAACCCAAATTGTTTTTGGGAGTAACTGAGTTTTGAAAGTCAAAAGCTTTGACTGATTCATTGTATTATTATTATTATTTTTTTTACTGATTCATTGTAGTTGAAGAGTAAAAAATCATTTGAATCCTTTTTTGTTGGGATCTCATTTGAAACTTGCCTCAGTCAAATGAAAAAGAACTGAAATATTTTTCACATATTTCGACCATAAATAATGAAGAATTGACGGAAGGTTCCTAGTGTGGCTTTCACTTAGGCCGACCGAATTTTGGCACCAAGCTTCGATGCCCAAAATGCGAGTCCAATGGATATCGATGTCCACTAGACCTTTTCACCAATTTATATTATTTTATGAATGCTTTCTTCAACTGATTATAGCGAATGATCATCGCAAGAAAATGCAAAAAAAAGTGACAAAAAAGAAGATAATATTTGCTGAGATGAGAGTCAAGATTTCTTCATGTTTATTTTTTTGTTGGAAATAATGTAAATATCAATGAAAAGTGTAGGCTGAACAAATTGTTTAACAAATTGCTTAGCCTATTCCATTAATCCCATGCTAAAAAAATATTTTTTTAAAAAGGATGGAAGCTTCTTATTTTAATTTTTTTTTTTTTAAAGGATGGAAGCAAACGTACATAGAAGATTTCTTCACGTAACATATCAAAATTCTCTAACGCTTATTTTTTTCGTTTTCAGAGCATAAGCTTTTACGTGGATAACTACTCTATTTATTAATACTTATATAGTTATATATAAATATATATTCAAACTTTAGCAATATGGAATGATGATAAAACGTAAGACATAATATACGATATGCAAGTGTAGGTTAAGGCGGATAACTTTCAACTACTTTCGGTTTTCCGTTTGAACAACACATAAAAAAAGGTGTATACTGCGTTTTTGTAATAATTAATAGCTCCACTACCATATTTTCCCACTTTCTAACTGAATTGAGGAAACCTTTTTATCCCACTTGCGAGTTGCAATTGTACGCCCTTTCGTTGGTGTTGAAGCTTTTTTTTTCCAGACTATTGTTTGAGCCGTTGATAGAAGTATGATTGTATGAACAAAGATCAAATATAAACTCTGATGTTATTGGTTCTCTTTAAAAAAAAGGAAAAAAAAACTCTGGTGTGATTGGTTTTCTGTCTAAGATACATAGATATGTTCAATACTTAGATGTCGAGGATATTTCGAAAGAAATTTTAGCTAGAATATTTTAGTAAATGATGCAAAGAATCCTAAATAGCAAAAGTTTTAATTGCATAAAATTATTTCCTTCAACTATCTAATATTACGTATGTATTCGTGTTTTTATAACAAAGTATTTTTGACGCTTAGGGTACGTTTGATGACTAACCATAGTCGAAATACTCGAATCCCCCATCAGTCTGTAATTTAATTTTCGACCATCTAATATGGTTAAATAAAACTTTGTTTTCCCAATAAGTTGTTGATGCAAAGAAAAAAGAAAATTTCAGAAACAGTTATACATATAAAAGCAAGCTTCCCAGATTAAAGGATTTTGTGTTGCCAGAAAAAAAAAAAAAAAAAAAAAAAAAACAGTACTAAAAACTGGCAACTAGTGAATTAAAAACGGAAAAGAACAAAGCGCAGATGATTTTGGACTGAAGATATAAATAAATTTAAAGTATTGTCATAAGATAAGTTAAGCTTATGATGAATCTCAATCTGCCGTCACACTCACAAAGCGACAAAATTAACAATTGCCATTATCGGAATGGAGGAGCAATGGAGCATCAGAGCATGGGCTCCAAACGGTGTTTCGTGACTATTCCACAAGTTTTATATTAAAATAGTTATGCCTCTGATCTTGACTTGCAAGAGTCGAACATCTATACGTATTTGAAATGACAAAGGAAAAATAAATAATATTGCACCTGTAAATATGAGCTAAAAAAAAAAAAGAGAGATATGAAGAGTCAGCCCTGTTCGTAGGGATGATGCTGCCGCAGCGGTTGCCTTAAAAAATTACAGTATTATTAACGATAAAAAAAAACCTTCACTTCTCACCATATTTGCTGCTGCGGTTCACTTTCTTCAGAAAATCGATATTATCCATGACGTTGATAAAAAACAGCGGCAGTTGGAGTGATCAGCGTTTATATTCATCGGCTGCCGGCGGCAGTTATTTGAAACTCTTATTAATTTCAATGTTGTTATCGTTTACTTTGTTGCTCCATAACTATTATTGTCATTTTTGTTTACCGAACCGCCACCGCAACGATAGAGAAAAGAACAGAGTAGATATCACTTTTGTTTAGAGATAACAGCTCAAAATAGATGGAGGTATACCTTTTTTTGGTGGAAACCGAGAGACAAAAGCCTCTTATGTATTATTCATAAAGGAAAGAGTTATATCCGAACAGACCGTAACCTTGTATCCCTAGCAGCATCCGCTAAAACAACTGAAATTACACTCTCCGATGCTACATCTAAATATTAAAAAAAACCAATGGTAATGAAAAAACATAGGTTGCAAACTGTCAGCTAGACAATTTGCCTTTCTATAGATGTGTTTAATTCGAATTACCCAATTCCGTGAGATAAAGTTATAGTACAAATGTACTAAGAAAGACAGTGGATGTTGATCACTTATCACTGTTGTCAAAAAGCCAACAACAATTTTCGAGTCTATCTCGATCTCCAAACGAGTTATACGATGTTCCCAAACTATGTATAACCCGTAGTATATTCCCCCAAAGTTTAGCCAAAAGAACAGAGCAAATACTTATATTCAGATGGAAGTATTACTTTCAATTCACAATTGTACCGCTTTCGTGGAATGTTTTTGTCTTTTTACTTTTTTCCAATTTATCTTTTTGTTCATTAATCATTTAAACAGTATTCTCTCTTTCAAAAGAAATGTTATTTTTAAATTTTATTTTTGTTTCATAAAAAGTGTTTCTTTACATTTTTAATGCATAATTTTGAATGAATATTCAGTTTTAACATTTAAATTTTATTGTTTTAATTAGAAAGAGACTGTTATTTTGTGTATGAACAAAAGATAAAATATAATTTTTAATAATTTTCTTAATTTATGTAAAAATGTCAAAATAACACTTACTTTGAAACAAATGGAATATATTTTTACAGATGTAGTTTTGTGTTTTCATTATTTGGCGATTCCACGATTTAAATTTAAAAAATTAGAATGAGGAATTAATTCTAAATTGAAATTGTTTTGGAAAAAATATTATTGCTTCTCCTCTAAAGAGGCATCGTTTTGAGGTTACAAATAAGGGAATCTAGCCTTTTTAAAAACCCTTTGGAAAAGATGGAATCGAAATCAGGTGGTAAATGTTACAGATGTGAACTTCTTACCACTTGACTAAAGACAACTCTACCAAATTGTTTTGTTCATATTTTTAATTTGGACGATCTCTATAAGTATTATTGTAATATATATGGGTTTCTGCGAACTTAAAAACTACGATAATTTCTAGAAATTAATAATAATTATACATATATGATCCTGATCTCATAAACATAGAGCATAGTCTCTCTAGGCTCTAGCACGAGTCTACTTATTTATTACTATTAGACTCGAACTAATAAGCCTTGAATTTGTAATTGGCGGCGTACCTTTTCTCATCTGTAAGGTGGGATGTCTTTCATGCGCGCCGCAATATACACACGCACTGTCATGAATTATAATTATTATTTTTTTGTTAAAGGGCCTGTCATGAATTATAAATATAAAAGCAGATCTATCTGTTAAGATATTTTAAAAAGTATCTCAATAATTAAATATTATCATTTCAATAAATAATTAACTTTTTAAAAACAAAAATTAAATAATTCATACGATAATAAATGGTTAGAAAATCTCTTTTTAGTGTCTCATAGTTTCTCATTTAAGAAGTAACTAGATCCTGGATCCGCGTCATGCACGGATTTTTGTCAACAAATTTTTTTCTGGGCTTGTTGAATATTTTGCTTAACAAACTTTAATCTAACTGTGGTCCAAACAGATCCATATAATTTTAATATCTGCGCGGGTCCAGTATTTTCTAATTCATATATATGTTGAACCAATGGTCATATTTTGTGTTATTTAGAAACGGGCCAAATGAAACTTAACTGGCCCAAATGAAATATGTTTTGGACCTGCGCACTTGTGCGGGTTTCTTTTCAGAAAAATTTATTAGGCCACAACAAATTTTGGGTTATGTTGTTAAACCAAAATTATGAACCACACGGAATTTGATTTGATTTGGCTCAAAAATGATTTTTTTTTCTTTCCAAAATTAGGAAAGTTTCCTCTCAGTCAAATCTCTACCAATTCGATTTAGCCACCAAAATTTCCGTCTTGTTTTTCTGCTTAACGATCTTCCTGAAACAATGATATATGGTTTTTAGTGATCTAAAGAAGTTTATGACAAAAAGTTTTTATTTCTCAGATGATCTGAGTAAAGATCTAGGTGCATTACGAATAGTTTCTAATTTCTGTAAAAAAACTGAGTAATCTGATAAAAAGGAAGGTCTAATAGTTTTGTTTTTTTAATTCTGTGAAGATTACACATATTTGCAACAAAAACATAAAAAAAAAAAAATTAAGTAGAATAACGTTTATTTCGTCTATAATTGACCTAAATCTCCTATTTGCATTTTAAACAGATGTTAAATTTCTCCGAATCAATTAGCCAAAATAAAACTAATGAAATAATATGACAATATATTTGTATCATCTTTTCCTGAAACTTTATAATCATCTATAATATTTATGTTTCTCAAAATGTTCAGCAATAAATTAATTATATGTTTTCA